TTATTTGCATATTTGATATTATTATTTAGTACTTATGATCTTAGCTTATTCATATTTTTAGCTTATTGCACCTACCACAATCTCTCTCCATGACCCTGGTTGATTGGGAGAGAATGCCGAAATGGCATGCAGACTGTAAATTTAAAATATTTTGTGAAAATGTTTAACAGTATTGAACTTAAGAAAACGGCAGATATATGGAGGATGTCCGCTGAAGTGACTGCTTCAATAATAGATGTATTTGCACCTTATTTGACTATAATATTTAAAAATTGTGTAGAAGCTGGCCTATTTCCTGATTTGATGAAACACAGTAAAGTCATAGATTTATTCAAATCGGGTAGTTCTTCTGAACCCACTAACTTTAGACCTATTTCTATTCTACCGACTCTTAGTAAAATTTTCGAAAAACTTATTCTTGATCAGCTGTTAAGACATTTAAAGAAATAAATATTTTAGCCTTGGCCTCTCAATATATAATTATATGAAAATTTAATGTATGTATATAGAAATATTAATGATTTTAATAAGAATACTAATGTACATAATGTAAACACTACAACACAAGCTTGTAATGCCAGTTACTAGACTCCATAGAGTCAGTAACTCGTTCATGGGACGGTGTATAATAACACTTCTACAACCAAATCCCAGTTAATGTGCAAAGCTTATCTATTAACAGGTTTAAGAAATTTATTAAAGAAAATCTTTTTAAAAAGTATTATTATAATATAAATGAATACATTAACGATAATAACCCCTGGGAATGAGATAATCGCTCCTAAGCTGTTTCTAAAAAAAAATATGTACTCTATAACAATGCATTTGTTTAGTAAAAAAAATGACAATAAAGAGGATACCTACGGAGTTTCTTTCGCCTGTTTCTTCTCCGTTAGAGGAACCTCATTACGAAACGGCGGTAGATTTAAAAAATGACTATCGATAAATGAAATGTATATTTCTTATTTCGATGAATAAATGATTTGATTTGCATTAATTCCGCCTTTTGTAATCCTTTTTTTAAGGTTTTTCAATAATAAATAAATAAATAACCACAGATTTTCATAATCAATATTTTTTGTTGCAACTAGCAACTCTATATAAGTTAAACTTAAAATTTTATAATACATGGATAATCCAGTACCTGTGTTGCAAAGAAAATAATTCAAGCCAAGTTTTAAATTAATTTTCCAAGGGTTTGCCAAACAAAGGCCTATTCAAATAGAAAGTGCTGGAATTTACCCAATGCAATCAGGAGTTCAGTCGCTCTGATTGACCTTTATGCAAATTTAAAATTAGTACAAGAAAGGGAAGGTTTATTAAAACAGAATAATAATTTATCTACCTTCTAGAAACAAATTTACTCTATTTATAAAAGTTGACACCTTGCTTTTTGCGGTTAATAAATATGTTAGCATCATATTTAAGAAAAAAAAGTAAATTAATTTATTTTCTATCTCGCAACTCGAATCAAGTTAATAATAACAAATACGGACAGCTAAAACATTGAATGGTAAAAATCTGATATTATTAGATTATTTTATATAAATTAAAATTAAAAAATAATGTTACTTTTATATTCAAACTATCAATCACACTATCTATCGTCATAGCTTGCAGAAAATACGTACTAATTTAACAAAACTAAAACAGACCCTTAAACTATTGATGCCGATATAATTTAATGTATGAAAATGAGGCTTGAAAAAAAAAAAAGAAATATCAGAATCAAAGCTGCAGAAATAAAATATTTGTTGTTCCACTTCTAATGTTAAAAGTTAATACATCCATTACTTTAATTATTTTATCCTTTATAGGTACGGAGTGATCATGGCTAGAAAGGAAAAGAGAAAATAACTGACAATATAATCTAACTAGAGCCGTGATAGCTCAGTGTCCGGGCGCTCGCCTTTAATTCTATTTACTCGAGCAACCTGAGTTCGATCCCCGGTGCCGGCACCAATTAAATTGTTAATTTCAAGTGCTGAATTATCAGGTGCCAGCGGTGAAGGAAACCATCGTGAGGAAACTTGCATATTTTCGAAATAATAATAAAAAAAAATGAAGTCCGCCAATCCGCAGTGGGGCCGCTTGGTGGACTATGCCCTGATACCCTCTGTACAGAGGAGGCCTTTGCCCAACAGTGGGCCATGTATAAGCTGACACTTTACTTTTCTTACTTTTATAATCTAACTGTATCTAACCTCGTAGATAGTATAAAGTTTTTTATAGTGTTAATCTCTGAACTTAAGATTAGACATTAAAACTTGTAGAATAAGTACGAAAAGATTGTCGCCGCTGTGAGAATCGAACCCACGTCTTCGGCATTCGCGGCCTGACGCTTTAGCCATTAAGCTAAATGGCTGATTACCACACCGACAAAAATCTTAACGTCTTTTATCTACATTGTTATTTAGCATTTGAAGCAATATTTAGCTATTGTAATATCCTTTCCAGCATACAAACAATTTTTCCCATTCCCATTCAGATTCCCACAGCGGCAACAATCTTTTCGTACTTTTTCTACAAGTTTTAATAGTATGAATTATTACGTTTTAATATTTTAATATGTATTTAATATTATATTTTAATATGTATGTAGTATAAAATTTTAGGTGAAAGAACCAAATTATCTAAATATTTAATCGATATTAGAAGAAGTTGGGTACTGTAAGTTCTACAAATCTTCACTGTTTCTGATACATATTAACCTATGTTAGGGTTTAGCAGTGTAAACTTAAAGACTGGAGAATTTATGTTGGAAGATTTTTATGTGTGATGTTTTCATAGTTGATATAATATGTATACACGTAGTCCACAAAGTATAGTGGAGTCCATGTTTTTAACATACTATAACAAACTGTTAACTGAATTAGCTTAGATCTCGTAGCTTAGATGAATGACAATTATTTAAACGTTGTAACTAATTATACTATTCATTAATATTTTCAACAACTAGCAAATTTAATTATGATAAGAAAATTGTATGCAAATTTATCCAAATTCTTGAATAGTCGATAAAAAACCGTTCCGTACTGTATGTCTGTTGTATGGGAGCCCCTCTTAAATACTTTTCTTGCTTTTTAGTATTTGTTATTATAACGGCAACAGAAATACATAATCTGTGGAACTTTCAACTGTCTAACTATCACTGTTCATGAGCAATAGCCTGGTGACAGACGGACACACAGAGAGCGGAGTCTTAGTAATAGGGTCCCGTATTACCCTTTGGGTACAGAACCCTAAAAATTGAAGCAAAGTATTAACTTTCCTATGTAACTGAAGGGCATACATAGGGTCCGAGTGAAAATTAAGTTCCATTCGTACAACAGTCTTCACTGGTTGCAGTGTTATACTTCTGCGTTCCGTCTGGTGAGTGAGGTAGCCGGGGCTTACTTTATTTAAAGGTGGCAACGCATTTGCAACCCTATGGGTGTTGCAAATGTCCATGGGCGGCGGTTATCAGTTAACATCAGGTGAACCGCCAGCTCGTTTGCCACTTTCTCACATAAAAAAAAAACAAATTTATTGATCTTTACTAATAATAATTATCAAAACAAAAGATAGGGCTTCTGTTTATTGTATTTGTTCCATCATTTAATAATAAAAACAAGCGGGCGCGATTCAGGCAGATTAACGGTGGTAGGTCTTCTGCATTTCATCTGGTGAGTGTGGTTGCCGGGAGCCTTTTCATAATAAGGTGGCAGCGCAATTGCAATCCTACGGATGTTGCAAATCGTCAACTGGCGGCGGTTAATACTAAACATCAAGTGATCCGCCAACTCACTTACCACCTTCTTAAATAAAAATAAAAAAGGTGAATGTTTCACAATAACGCCTATAGTTCGCCCATAGTACACTTTTCCGTTCTATTTGTTAGTTATTGACAACATCAATCATAATGAGCTGATTCTTTTTAATATTATTATTGAACTAAAGAGTATATTTTCAAAATAATAATAGAAATTTAAATTTATTGGTTATTATACTTACTTATTCGTCATACTAATAATAAAAAAAAACCAATTTCATAATTGCCTTGCAGCTTGTAAGCTGACGTTATAAATACATAGTACGCAAAGAATAGTGTAATTTTGATTTGATTACGGTCGCACTGTTTGTTACTCTCAAAATAAAAATAAAAACAGCAAGATAATAAACGATGATAGAAATGGTTAGTAATACTATTAAGAGAACGAGGGCGTAACACTAGTGAGCTCTAATGCTCGAAACCTCTTATGTTTATTAGACATGGATGGACATGGTAGATGGAAATGTTTCTGTTAGGACATTGTTCGGGGTACTTTTAATTTTATTACTCTTTGAAATACATTGCAAGCACGCCAATGTTCGGAACTGTTTTATTATATACAACGTATTCATTTTAACGGGAAACATTTCTTTACGTTACATGATTCGATCATGAAGTAACTACTATAAACTGCTTCGCCTCTAATGTAAAAAATGTAGAAAATGTCATTACAGCTAGTCTTTATTCTCCCGTACGTTAATTAATCAAAATGACATTTCCCTTTTGGCGCAGCCGTAAGTAATAGATTCGAGCTTGGAGTCATAATATAAACTTGTACATGCCTGTCATAGGTGTACATGTAAGAAAATATTGTAATGTACATATCACTAAGTTTTTTTAATATGTATACTGTTGGTATGACTAACAAATAAATAAATAATATAAGTATATGACTCCAAACTCTAGTAAACTATCCAATATGCGTAAGTATGCATATTGGATAGTTTACGATATGTTTTTCATTTAAATTGATGTAAAGTAGTGAGACCCACGATTGTGATATAACCCGTTTCCAAACCTGAAGTAAAATACAGAGTTACAATGCGATTAAACAGTAAAGAAATTTATTTAAACCCTTGTTATGAATACTAATATACAAGGATGTCGCGTCCGATCCCGTGATATAATATAAAATTATCAAGAAACTGAGTACACTAATTACACCCAGTCTGCATAAAGTGCGCTGTTAAGGAGAAGTAACGGTGAGGTTTGGGTCGCTCTTCAGCCGTTGTGACGGACTCCTGTGGGAGCCGAAATAATGTATCTAGTATATTTTTAAACTATTCTTTTAACCATGGCATGTAAACATATATACCGTGGTAATTTTTTAATGTACACTTTAAAAATGTATTAATGATTTTTGATATAACTGATGTTACGCTTTCAGTCCTTATAGTCTAATGAAAGCTTCTTCGAACGCAGAACCGGTGGGCTAGCCAGAACCCACGAGTTTGAGGCCCTCCTCAGTGGGTAGGGTCACGCATGTACTCATGCGTGCGTTGGTTGTGACATGTCGCCTAGGAGCCATCGAGATTCGGTGAGGATCGTGACCCCGATGGCCGTTGGTTGTGCTTGTTTAGTCGGTGGCTGGAGGCAGTGAGAACCGCCCTGGATCGTGGGTGTACCTAGTGTACGCGTAGTGTTGGTTCCGTCGTGCTCGAAGGCGAGGATGAACTATGGTGTTTGTTGATGCACTAACTGAGTGTGTAGTGTTATTTGGCGGGATCCTCAACTGTGGGTCCGACGTACTTAAGTCCCCTTCCTCGACTCTCAGTGAGGACATTGCGCGGGCGACGCTTGTTGACGTTCGCGTTAGTGTCGGGTTGGTAATTTGGATATATTAATGTCGCATATCAATTTAAAAGCCTTTCAATATATTGGGAAATTTAAACAACTGTAATATAGGAAAAATTACGGTGAATGTGTTCTGTAGGATTGTCAATACAAAGAAGTTGTAAGGAATTACTATCATCATCATAATGTCAGTCGTAGGAGGTACACTGCTGAGCCGTGAATGGGTTCGGGTTAGTGACCCGATACGTTTCGATCTTCGGGGACATCCCCCACTGATCGGGCTGAAACTCGGCTGGCAAAAGGCCAGCCGGTGGTGACTCCTCCTGAAAACAGAAAAAGCACAATCCCTGACCGCGGCTGCGGTGTTAGTAGGGCAGAAGTGTTATATGAGAATACTAAACTACGTAGGAAGGGACGACAGGGACTCTACCTACGGGTCTAGGATAAGGAAAGGGAATGGGACCTAACTACTTGGGTTAGGGTTGGGTGGTGGGAGTGGGGCACGGACCTGCCGACGACTCAGGTTCCCCCTGAACCTGTGTCCTCAGCAGGTCTCGTGGGAGCGGGCGCTCGTCCGGTGGGCGAGCGTGTAGCGGGGCCAAATTGTGTAAATGAGTGTGTGGCCCGTTGTCCGCACGGTCGAACATCCCGCGCGCAAGTCGGGCCACAAAGTCGGAGATGGATTCTAATTTTAAATTTTGTGCTAACACGTCGTTTCGGACGTATCGCCCGGCTCCCACGATCGCACGCAGGGTGAGATTTTGCAGCACCTGAAGCCTATCTTTCTGCTTCGGAGAGCACAGCCCATACCACGCCGGGGCTGCGTAGGTCAAGCGTGAGCGTATATAAGATTTGTAAATGGCCAATTTTGACCGCAATGGTAGCTCGGATGCAAGAACGGGTCGTAGGACCGCCTTTGCCGCTCTGGCCTGTCGGACCACATGGTCGACTTGGGGGACCATTTGCAGCGAGCGGTCGATCCTGCATCCGAGGTACGTGATATGAGACTCCGATGAAATAGCTCGACCTCGCAGCTCGAGCGTGGGCGGGTTATGCACCCTCCTAATGTAAATGGAGGACTTCTTGTCGACGTTGACAGACATCCTCCACTTGTCGAGCCAAGGTGGCAGTAGGTCTAGCTGGCGCTGCATCTTCCTAGCTGCATGCGCCGTATTGTGTGAAGAGGTAAAGAACGCGCTGTCGTCCGCATAAAGCGCCAACAGCACGCTCTCGTCTCAACCCGGGTTGGGCTCTTCTACGGTAGGGATGTCGTTGGTGTAGAGGGCGTACAGGATTGGAGAGAGGCAACTCCCCTGTGGAACGCCGGCTTTCATGCTATAGGGGGACGAAAGGGCTCCGTCGACAGTGACGACAAAGCTCCGCCCCTGTAAGAATCTAGCCAAAAGTTTTACTATGAGATGTGGAGTGTCGCTGTTTTGAGAAGTTTGTGTACTAGGCCCGCATGCCACACTCGGTCGAAGGCCTTCTCCATATCGAGAAGGACCCCCAGACCGACACGGCCCCGGTTGTACTGGGCCGTGAGATAGTGTAGCACGCGGGTGAGTTGTGAAGTTGTGGAGTGTCCCCTGCGAAAGCCGAACTGCTCCCTGCGCAGTGCAATGCAGGGACCAATCCTGCCCAGCAGGAGGCGTTCAAATTATTTGGAGAGGTGTGATAAAAGTGCAATAGGATGGTAGCTTGCCGGCTGCCGACGGTATTAGATTTGGGTATTAGAATTAATTTGCCGGCTTTCCACTGAGAGGGAAAGTGTGCTGTACGTAGTATGCCGTTGAACAAACGGCACAGCGACACAATCCCCCTCTTAGGGAGCTGCTTGATGGCGAGGGTGGTAATGCCATCAATGCCCGGTGCTTTCCGGTTTGGGAGACGCCTAACCGCCCTAAGTACCTCAGCCGGTGAGATGAACAAGTCGCCCGACAGCTGAGGCACTGGCGAAGTTAAAAACTCCTGAACGCTCTCTTCTACCTGGGTGTGGAAGGGAAGTGTATCTGGAGTGGAGGGATTAGGAACGAATTGGAACGCTAAGTGCTGTGCGAAGACGTCGGCCCGGTCCAGGGCTGCTACGGCCCTTCTCCCGTCGCTCCCGAGAAGCGGGCACGCGGGTTTTGGAACACGGGCGAGCTGCCGATTGAGGTGGTACAGGGAGGTTACGGAACTAGAGGCCTCGTCAATCCTCTCCTCCCACAATGTACCGCGATGGTTTTTAATCTCAATCGACAGCTCTTCCGAGAGCTTATTCAATTTGGACTTGATGCGTGGGCATCTGGTGCGGGCCCAAAGCCTCCGAAGACGCCTTTTTTCCCGAATCCGGCCGAGTAGCCTACCGGGGAGCGCGTCTCTACGGCTCACATATCTCACCTCCGAAGTCGTCGCCCCCAGCACCTCCTGCATTTTGCAGCTGATGCTGTGGACGGCCGTCTCCACATCCTCCGGAGTTGAAATAGGTGCGCCGTATTTGAAGTCAGACATCGCTCTCCCGTAGGCCACCCAGTCGGTTCTGAATCTAGGACGTATCGGAAACAGTGAGTCCGCACCGATACCCACGGTAATTAAAATTGGAAGATGATTCGTCTCGGCTTCGTAAACAGCGTCGACGTGAATGGGGCGCGACATCTTATAACACAGCACTATGTCCAAGACGTCTGGAAGATGTAGTGGGGTGGTGGGGATATGAGTCGGCTCGTCCGGACCGAGCACTTCATACCCGACCACCCCTGCGTCATCAAACAGCGCTCTGCCAGCGGGCGAGGTGATACGCGACCCCCACGCTGGATGTTTAGCGTTAAAGTCCCCAGCGATGATAGTGGGGACTTCGGAGTTAAAAATAGTGTGGATGTCCGCCGAACAAAATTTGGAATTTGGAGGCCGGTATGCCGAGTAAACGCGCATCTCCCGCCCGCCGATGTAAATGGCTGCACCTATAGTGCACGTACTGACATAACTGCCCAGCCCCAACTCGTCATGCATTAGGTCGCACCGGACGAGAATGGCCACCTTCCTATAGGGGCGGTTATTCGCCGGATTGACCTCGTCCCTACGATACGTGACGAAGTTGGGGATGCGCAGCGTGCCAGTCGCCGGGAGCTTGGTCTCGCCAAGCAGCACGACATGAATGCCGTGCTGCCTAACGAGACTCTTAAGCTCGGCTATGCGCTGTCTGATGCCGCCGGGATTCCAGTAAAAAATTTTAAGGTCAGTGGAGGGGGTCTCTGCGAGCCGTAGTCAAGGATTGTATGGCGGTCGTTATCGCCTGTAATGGATCGTTGCCCGTGGCAACAGAGACCAGGATGTCACCGAGAATACCCGTGATCAGCCTGATCAGTTGAGAAATGGCCCCTTCGATCCGCTGCACAATCTCGATCTGTTTGGGGCCGGAACCTCATACCGCACCCGAAAGATCGGGCGTTCGGGGCGTGGCCGAGCTGTTTCTTCAGCTCGGCGAAGTGCTTCGTCCAGTCTGGGAAGCACTCGACAATAATAGGAGGGTAGCCTTGGCATCCTCCTCCATCGGTTTGGGCGTGGGAGTGGGCTGCGTGAGCTGCGTGGAAGGTCCGGGTGTGGCGGCGCTCGGAGATGGTGGAGCGGACGTCATAGATGCGTAACTCGGCGGCGGTACGGTAGGGCTGGGCCGTTCCCCCAACCTCGGGGGCCAACGTCGCATACGACGTTGAATCGGTCGCAGCCCCGCTACTTTCCGCACCAGAGTATTGACGCATAGACGTACCGCTCGTGCTGGGCCCCGGCTGGGGCTCGTCATCCGGGGAGAGTGGTGGTTCGTCGTGGACAAGCACCGCGGCCGGAGCGGCGGCGGCGCTGTCCATTGGTTGCGCGGGGGTCGGGCCCCGCCTGGGAATCTTTTCCTCCCGATCTGAATCGTCGGGGGAAGTGCGAGGTTTAGCGCTCTTCGGCGGGCGCGGTTGTAACGGTGTGGTGGTGATGAGCCTGGCGTGTAATCGCGCCGACTCATCAGCCGTGGTCGCAACGCGCTCCGCCTGGCGCTGAGTAACAGGTATTCGTTCGGTATATCGGGCTCGTTCGTATCTCGGGCTCGTTCTCGTGCTCGGGGGCAGGTGTGCTGCGAACTCTCGCTGGCCGCGCCTGCGCCTTAGCCTTAACGGGCTTGGGCGCGGTCTTCGGCTTGGAAGTCGACGGACGCGGGATTTTTCCCTTGTCCGCCATGGTACACTGATTTTACACTGATTTAAAATATGCACATTTGTGCTAGTGTCCCGGTGGAATGTTTTTGTTCTTCACCTTTGCACCATATTCGGCCCCTTTTATAATAAAAGGGGCCCGAATATCGGTTAAAACTGGTTAAAAACTACGACGACCACTTTACGCGCACAAACACTGAATTTAAAACTGTTCTATAAAGCGTCCTGTCGCACTGTGTCACATAGACTGTACACGCCGCTAATGTCTAGCCACTCGACGTCGCGGAGCGGAGCTCAACGCAGGACGGAGATTTGGCGTCGACTGCCAGCGAGTGTGCTTACTAGAAGCCCCACTACTAGCCGTAGCGTGCACAGGTGTGCCGGTGAGTCACTAGGCAGGTGTTTTCCGTAGCAGGTGTCGCTTCGTAAACAACCTCCCACTGCTGAGCATAGGCCTCCCCCATTGACTTCCATTTCGACCGGTCGGTAGCGGCTGAATCCAACGTGTCCCTGCGATCTTTACTAGGTCGTCTGTCCACCTTGTGGGAGGCCTTACTACGCTACGCGTGCCGTCACGTGGTCTCCACTGAAGAACCTTTCGCCCCAACGCCCATCGGTTACCTGCTCTCTGCCACTTCAGTATGCTGACGCGCTCTGCTATGTCGGTGACTCTAGTTCTTCTTCGGATTTCCTCCTTCGATCTCGTAGAGAAAACACAACCATTACCCTTTCCATACCTCGCTGTGCGACCACGAGCTTCCTTATCAGGGTCATAGTGAGAGACCACGTTTCGGCACCGTAGGTCATCGCTGGTAGCACGCACGTATTAGGGACTTTCATCTTTAAGGACTGTACTATTTTAGAAGTAAAGACGCTGCGTAATTTCCCGAACGCAGCCCAGCCGAACTGGATTCATTTCGAATTATTAGTTTTCATTACTTTAATTATTCATCTTACTACATTCTTCTACATTATTCTTTGAAAATGTTATAGGAGATGCACAGTATGCTTGATTCATACGCTTAATGTCAAACACATAATAGTAGAAGAGCTCGTGGGAGATCGGCCTTCACTCATGTGAGAAGCACCTGAGACATATTTTTTGTATGATTCCTTGCAGGCAAGTAGGAACAGGTAAGTTTATATAGGTACAAAAGCACTTGTTGTAGTCAGAATTTGTTGTTTTTTAATAGAAGCGTAAGGTCAGATCCCAATTCTGATGTCGTCGCGTATTATTTTAAATTATAAAAATAAAACTTCAACACTGGATATCAATGAACCCAATGGAGTATTAAAAACGATTATTCATTAATTAGTTCAACACGAAATGAAGAAATTCTCCAACAAGTGCATCTGGTAACCCTCGCCGTGCACATATGTAATTCCTTACTTTACTTCTTTATGTCGCCTAATATAAATGCTTTTAGTCCGTAGAACGCAAAACTTGTGGATTTTGCAGAACCCACGACCTTGATACGACCTTCGACGTTGAAATTATTAAAATAACTACAACTCTAAAATCTATCAAGCTAGTAACACAGTTCAGTTGTTCAAAGCGCAAAGACTCGTTTAGTAGCACTTATGTCATTTATGTTTACTATTACCTTAACTAATACTGTAATATAGATCAGTAAAGTCAAGAAACTATACGTCAGAAGTCATCTTATCGCACATTTTAAATACATGCAATGCCTACAAATTGCATTATACGACATATACTTAAACAAATGCGATCATTTAATTTAAATATAATTATTTTTATATGGAAAACTAGTACATACTATAGGTTGCATAATTTCCAAAGAAATAAAAAAAAAACACCCGAATTTTTATGCAGAAGAAAGTTGGGTGCTAGCAAAAAATTGAGATTTATTTATTTTTATTCTATTTTTATTTATTCGAAAAACTTACAGCTATTAACAAAGATAATTGAGTGATTTTAAGTGCTAAAGAAGCAATTTATAAGTTCTCACATCTAGAAATCTTAAATTATAGGTACTATAGAAAATAAATAAATACAACGAATAAAAAGGCACGTGAGAACAATGGCATGAACATAATTATGGAAAAAATAACAGTAAAGCTAATTTTTTTTTTATGTGACAAAGTGGTCTTTAGTAAGAAGTGCTTTGGCAACCGCTGCGCGCTGGTGAGCTTTTAAATGGATAAATATTCGTCCTTATCATAAAATAATAATTTCTATAATTTGAAGAACAATTTGGAGTGTGGAAGGATTTGCGTGTTCTTTTATTTGGTAATGGAACATTTAGCGGGATTTAAGATAATAACTCGGGTGAGTTAATAAGCCCATTTACAATTTTTAAATACAACCGTCGTTGATATTTCGTCGAACATATAATGGAACAAAATGCTACCGGCTACATCTATCATTATAATCTCTAGACCTTATATGTGCTTTATGATCTAGATATCTTAAAAATCTTTTTTGAATACACTCAATACGTGATTTATAGGTCTTATAATGTGGACTCCAGACCTGTGAGGCATATTCTAGCATAGGTCGTGAAAAACAGATGTGCTACGGATGATGAAACCCCAGGCTTTATACGCTTTAAGTACTACATAATCCCAACATTAATAAAATTAAATCTAGACCTGAACGTACCATAAAACACCAATTAATGAATTTAGAAACTGGCGGTAGCCCGAGTTGACAATAACATTCAGACATCTAATACCTCAGCGTGTCAGCGCAGCATTCGTACTCAAATTAAAATTAGAAGATCGCGTTTGCTTAAGTAAATACATGCAATGCCTACAAAGTGCAATATAAAACATTGCACCGTATGTGCAATAGGATAACTTCGAATGTATAGTCTCAGTAAAACTTACCTATATTACAGTATAACTTTAGGACATAGAAAACATAAAAGACATTAATGCTACTAAACGAGCAATTGCGCTTTGAACAAACACAATGCTTTCAACTTTTATAAGCATATACAAAGTTAATTCACAGCTGTGTTACTAGCGTTATAATTTTGTAGAGCTGTTATTATTTTAATAATTTCAACGCTGCTATTTACTAAATTGTAATAAAAACTAAATTATAGCAATATTTGTTTATCAATTTTCTTTACCGTTATACCTAATTAGATTTTTCTTGTACTCAGGACAGTTCCGGTAGACATAACACCTAAGGCGGTTAGTCCCACACACGCCAGATGATACACGAACTTGCATTTGATTTGCGTGTGATAAACATGGTGTTTTTCTAGTGTCTGTGTGTTTATATATGTATGAAATGTATTTATTTACAAAAGAAAAGGTTATCAGTTATCTAGTACCCATAGTACAAGCTTTGCTTAGTTTGGGTCTAGAAAATGTTGTGTAAAAATGTGTCCTGAAAATAAAAAAATATTTAGAAGACAATATATATAGAATAAGCGATTAGCACTTTATAATGCTGATCTCTGCACTTAAATTAATGATGATGAAATATAAATATTTGCTAAAAATGGACGAAAAGACTGGGTGTGCACTCGGAAAATGTGGTTTCGATTCTCGCAACGGCGAAAAACAGTTTTTTGTGGAAAAAGTTTGATGTAGAAAAAAAACAGTAAAAAGAATACAAGGATCTATTAACCATAAAGTAGCTTTACTAATTTTGTATTTAACTCTAATAGTGAAACTCCACTTCAGTAACAAATGAAAAACGAACAATTTAGTTTATATTGCCACATGTTTGAACATTTATACTGCCAGACTTGTTTACTTTAGTTATTTTCACAGCATCTTGTCTTACGGCATTTTGTTGTGGGGTAGTGCATCAGATATAAATTCTATATTTATTCTTCAAAAAAGAGCTGTCCGAGCAATCTACAATATCGGAGCCCGGAATTCACTCAGAGATCTTTTCAAAGAGGTTGATATACTCACTGTTGCTTGTCAATACATTTATTGTAATGTTTTGTATATACGTCATAACCTTAATTATTACCTAAAGAATAGTGACAGACATAAAATAAACACTAGAAATAAGGACAAACTTACTACGCCATTGTTTCGTCTACAAAAAGTAAATAAGTCGTTCATGGGGCAAAGTGTGCGCATGTATAATAAAATCCCACAGTCGATATTAAGTCTGCCGCTTGACCAATTTAAATGTAAAATTAAAAATCAACTGATGATTAAAGCATATTATACCATTTCGGAATATCTCGACGACGCCAATGTGTGGAGTTAATACTGTTGATACTCACGTAGGCTAGAATAAGACTATTATACCTGTATATTATATATATATATTGTACCCTGATATTTTTGAAAAAGAGCAACTGTTGAGTTTCATGCCGGTCTCTTCTCAACAGAAGCCGCTTTCCGAACCGGTGGTACCTTACGAACCTATACACTCTTTGATGTAAAATTTGACGATTCATAAGAGCGCGCAAGCGTCTATTTGAATAAATATATTTTTTTTGATTTGATTTTGATTTTATGTTTGATTTATGAAGCAACTTGCCTATTCTTCATTGTCTTCTATTCTTGTTTGTACGTCTGTACCTACTGGAAAAAAATAGAATAAAATCGTAAAATAGCTGACTCAGGATTAATAACTAATCTATAATCAGAAAATGAAATTAAGATTTTTTGCAACAAAAATTTGTCTAATGCTGGAATTTTGCAAAAAAAAAAAAACAATTTCGATGTGACTTCGCAATCGAATTACGGAAGAATTGGAACGAAAAAATGGGGTCACTACATGTCCAAGATTGATTTAATGTCCATTTATTCGACCGTTTCTACCCTGATGGAATTGTTACACTAACTTTTTCAAGTTATTACAGTGATAAAGTTTCAATTTATTAATAATGTATAAAAGTTTGATACTGTGACATACTACATTACATACATTAAAAAAGGGAAAATTTTAAGATCTCTTTTCTTAAAGTGGTCAAACATTGGACAACGACATCTTTCACTATATACAAAAGTAGAAGAACGATGTCAGTGTGAAATACAAATGTAATCTAATTTGAACCATTTATATATTTTTATTGCATT